GTCGTTGGTTGGCTGGTTGCAGTCGTTGGTTGGCTGGTCGCAGTCGTTGGTTGGCTGGTTGCAGTCGTTGGTTGGCTGGTCGCAGTCGTTGGTTGACTGGTTGCATATCGGAGTTTTGGGATCATTACATCCAACAGGCTGTAAGCGAGTACAATCCGGCAGCAAAGAGGATTGGTGGATTTCTGATCCAATTAGATTAACAGGATCAGAAACAGCTCAGCAACGGTTCTGAAGGTCCAAAGTCTAATTCTCTAAAGTCCAGCAATGTGTTGGTTTTAGAGGGGTTACAAACATATTGTACACAAAAAAACAACATTTGTGACACTTTAGTTTGATATTTTTGAAGGATTTTGTGATTTTATTTTTTTACACAGGTTAAAAAGACTTATCTAGTGCGATACCAGTAAATGTGAAGCTCATCATGTCTAATGTGTCACAAAAGCAGTAATCAGCTTTGACCTGACCATTTAAACCTACCAGAAGTTTTTGGGTTGAAACTGATGGCACTCGATGCACACGATGATGGTTTGATGTCCGTCGATGGTCTTTCCATAAATCTGAGGAGGGAACAGAAAGAGTCTCAGACAGGATTTACTAATCAGACACCCGAGGCAGTAAGAAATGAGCTGGGACTTGTTAAAAGCTACAGGGTTATTACTGCTGACCTGATACTGGTTGAACTTTTATTAGTAATAATTAAGAGCTGCCTGCTCTGCAGAAGGTGACTGTAAGCCTTTTTAAATGTTTGTGTGTAATACCATAACACCCTGCAGTGTGGACTGACACACAAACCAGTGAAAACAATAATATCAGATATATTAATAAAAACACAGGTAGTTTTGGTTCTTTGTAGAAAAAAAACGCTTGCATCATTGATTTGTCAAAAAATACTTAAATGGATTTTCCAGTTATTTGGAAGGGAGATTATGTGGAAGAAATGTTAGAAGAAGCTCTTTGAGCTGCCTCCGTTTGGAGGAAGAGTTTAGGTCCAAAAGGACTGATGAGCTAAGGGCTAGTCTGAGCAGGGCCAAGATAAAAGTCAGCCAAAGTCTTAAAACAACAGTGATCACCAAAATGTTTGGATTTTGTGATCATAAAACTTTACAAGGCTGTCTGTGCTAGCAAATAGAGTGAAATAACCGTGTAATAAAGTGACAGCAGATAGCTGTAGCACTTCAGACTGTGTTCTGTTGCAGCAGGAATAAAGAAGTCATTTGAAGATGATGGTGATTGAAAGTGCTTTAAGATGGTAAAATGCTTTGGATGTGGGTCTGACTATGGTCTGATAAATCTTTATTCACTCATTACTATCTGACTGAGCCAAGGAGCACGTTTAAACTACATTTATTAAACTTTGATAATGCTGTCATATTTAGCGTTGGCATGCACTGCTATGAAATGTTTGAGACTGAAGATGTTTTCACTTTTGGCTCGGCTTGGCTCAGATTGATTGCTATCTTGTTAGTCTGGTCAGAATTAAACTATTCTATAACTAAAGTTGTTCAAAGAACCACAGGTCAGGTTCATGTTTACAATATTAATATGTACTTTGGTTGGTTTAATTTTCCATTTTTCTTCACAGCCTTGCTTTAGTAAAACAATGTGTTTAAAGAAGCTGCTGAACGTACGGTGCACACTCCGCTGGGATAGTGCTCCTTGACATAAGCTCTCACGGCTGAGTCCACAGCATTCCTCCAGCCTTCCATAGAGCTGTCAACATCATGGGGTCTCGGGTCGCTGGCCTCCTTCCTCAGGTGGTCAAACTTGAAGGAGATCTTGTTCTTTGGGTCCAGGACCCGACCGCTCCCAAGGTCACCGTGCTCTGTGATTAAGACCTGGAGTGAAGAGAGGAGTTGTGGTCAAAGAAGAGGATAAATATTGGAACAAAGACAAACAAAAGAAGAAAGGAAAGAAGTGAAACTAGGACGTCACGTTAAAAAGGAAAATGTGAGAAACTCAGAAATGAGCCTGAACTTTCCATCTGCTGCCTGTTAGCTCAGCCTGCTGGGTGTCAGACAGGGGAATTTCAGGCAGCGATGAAGGAACAGAGGGACATGATGACATCTTTACATAAGCCACTGCAATCATTACAGCTACATTCATTCAGCACAATGTTCAGCCTCTACCTCACAGGCAAACAATAACATCAATAACAAAAAACAAGCCTGTGATGCAGTTTAGCATGCTTTTTGTTTCTCATGGAATAAAGTATGTTTTATCTAAACAACTGCAACAGTTTGTTTCTATTACTCCTTTTGCCTTTTAAAGAGCTACAATGTACCAGATGATTAGATATTAAATCATTAAATTCAGACTTAATTACCCCTCCTGCTCCTTTAGCTTCTGAGCTTTAATGCTTCACTAAGAATAAGACACAAGCTCACCTGATCTTCATAGCCCTCGACTTTCACAGGGGTAAACTGGTCCAAGTTGTACTGTGCAAATGCACTGTAAGGAGAAACACCAAATTACTACAAACAGTTCAGAACGTACACACTGCATTGTTCCAAGATTCCCATTTAAAGACGAAAGTTAAGACTTCTGCCAAGACCAGCAGTTTTTAAACCTTTTATGCACCTGGCTCTGAGAAAAACGTTGTCAGGTCCGGTCTCCTCAACTCAACAAAACTAACGCAAACTGAATCAAATGTAACTGCAATTTAAAATAATTAAAATTAAAAATTGAGAACCTAATTATTTCTTTAAAGGCACAGTGTGTAGGATTTGTTGTTTTCAGCGACATCTAGTGGTTGAATCATCCTCCCTGGTCCTCCCCCCACCCCCGGCTTCCAAACACAAAGGAGTTTCTACGGTGTCTCTCAGGTGTCAAAAACCTTTGATAATTCCAACCGCGATGTCTACCAGCAGCTTCAGGGCTAGTGATGTTTCAAGTGGTAAGATTATGAGCTTTAATAAGTAAAATTATCCCAGCTACAATKACAGACAACAAATATTACATTTATAGTATTACAACTAAAACCGTTTTTGACGCCGCGACCGCAGTTTGTCCTTCATGAGCCTTCGTAGACAAGATGGCGGTACAAGATGGCGGCTGCCTGTGTGACAACCCGCGAGCATGGAGATATAAACAGCTTTTTATAAGGTAAAAATAATAAAACAAGGTCTTTGTCTGCAATGATTAGACATGTTTTTTTTTTATTGTCATTAGTGATTATCTCAATTTCGGCTAAAAGACTTGACAAAATCCTACACACTGTGCCTTTAAAGCTTTCTTACAGAAAACTATGGCGTCAAAGCTGAGCTCCTCCTGACTGAACAGAGACCAAACAGGACTGCTGGGTCAGAATTTAGAATATAGCTGCTTAAATTTTGGAGTCTGTATGGTGTTTAATTTTGCAAATAAACACCGTATGCTTCCCTGTTTTCAAAAACCATGAGCTCCTCATCATCATCATCATCTTGGCTTTCCTAAAATATTTAAAAACATTTTGGTTTAACTTGTGACTTTGAATTAGTTTAAAAAGCTTTATTGTTTGTGCATTTAGCAAATAATTCTAATTCTAACTGATCTAAAATGGGAAAGGTTTAGTTTTATTTCTTATCAGGCAGTGACGAAAATATCTGGTTTTCGCTGTGTATATATTTATTTTTCTAAAAGATTTTTGTGAACTTTTCATATTTTTCCATGTAGAGAGCCTTTTAAACAGTGATGTATGCATTTCAGATGGTCTGTAACGAGGTTTATTTGTTGTCATTTAAAAATGGTGACTTTGTTTTTAGTGTTGGTCTGAAGAAGACCAGAGAGCCAAAATGCAGTAGTGTTCTTGCACCTGCTTTGACTCTGCATTCCAGTTTGAGAACCACTGGTCTAGACCTGGAACACCTTTACAAGGACTTAAAGTTAATAAGCTGAAGCACCTCTGACAGTATAATGCTCCTATTAAACTACAGCTGGATAAAGAACCACTGACAGACTGCTGGGAATGAGTTGGAACAAGTCTGATCCGTGGTTCAGAGCCATGTTGGCAGCATACAAAAACCAACAACATGTTCACATGCAGTGGTCACATTACTTAGGATCACTGGTTTGTGAGAAACATTTTCAGGTAACATGAATACAGTCTGAAGTTACACGGGGCAAGAAAGAAAAGACTTACTGCGCTGCACCCTCCCTGAGAAGATTGTCATTGTTGAGCAGCAATCGCACATCTGAGGAGGAAAACAGTGGGATTATTAAAAAAACAGAGCAGGAGAGTAACGTTAGAACAAAATACAGATTAGAAGAATGACATTTACATAACAAATCAAAGTTGCCTACAGTCAGTCTGAGCAAAATCAGGGAAGCAAAACACAGCTTAGTTGTGGAGACCAGGGGTTTCACATATCAACATTAAGTGTTTGCTTATACCAAGATCCAGGCACTTTTAGAATGCGTGAAAACAAACCTATGAAAGTGGGAGTAAATATGTGACTCAACATATCAAACCAAAGATTAAACTGGACTTGGTCAACTAAGCACATGTTCAGATTCTTAGTTTTCATGAGATTCATGAGCAGTTCCAGAAAAAAGACTGGATTTGTCTTGTAAACTGGGAAAACCACTAGAAAATCTGTTTAAAATCTTTACCATAATCTCATGAGGACTTCTTGATGTCAGAAGAAACTCGAGATTTCCCAGCTGGTATTGAAAATATCTTTACTAGCTGGCAGAAAAAGTAGCTAAAGTCATCACAAGTTGTTGGTACGGCTCAGAAAAGTGCTTCAAAAATATATTTTTAGAATCCTATTTTGGATGTTTCCTTCTAGGGACACATAGGTATGTATTCTGTAAAGTTTCTCCTATTTAGTCACATGTAGGTGTAAACACACATCAGTGATCTTATACTTTGCAAGGCCCACATACTGATGAGGCTCAAATGCATACAAATTGTTGAGTCAGAAGATAAAGTCAGAAAGTTTAAATTCCTTTAAACTAGACCTCGGCCAATAGGCGAGAAGCTGGGGCGGTGACGCTTTTCTTAAGACCGCCTCCTCTGTTT